AACTGCTTTCATATAAAAAATCGTCGCGACGAGATCTTTGAAACTAGATCCCATGTTGATATGTTCCGACGACTTTTTTTTTCAGGTCAAAAGTTATTACGCCTCTCCTACATAAGTTATCAGTGTGCAAGACATAATTTATCATGTTGTTTACACAGATATTATCGAGGTATAAAAAATGGTTCCCACAATTTTTTCCTCACGTGCACATGCATGAATACAATAGAGGGCCAAAAAAATTTAATGTCGACCAAAATTCTCCTTTTTTAGAAAATCCAAATGTTTTGTAGCTCGAAACGACGATGCCTTCAAAACTAGATCCCATGTTTCTATGTTCCGAAGATTTTTTATGTCAAAAAGTTACCACATCTGGGGTAATCTGTTGTGTATATATTACCATGATAATGGGGAGGGGGTGTTTTTCAACAAAATAAATCCCCTCGTCAAAATTGTTACCACGCCAGGGCGAAGAAGATTATCAACTCTGGTGGGCATATATTACGATGATATTGACACATGGTGTTTTTCAAAAAAAAAATCCAGGATGAAAAAGTTATCACGTCTAGGCTAAGTAAGTTATCATCAACCATGTCGTGCGTATATTATCATACTGTTTTCATAGAATTACCAGAGTATGTTTTTCAATAAACTTTTTTCTCGTGGTTAAAAGTCACTGTGGTGTTTGTAGTGAGTTATCGGCTTTGTACTATGTATATTACCGTGCAATTTGCATAGAAGTTTTCGGGTATGTTGTTTTAACAACTTTTTTTCCATTGGTCATTAATTTTCCTTGATGTTTGTACATTAGTTATCAGATCTTCTATGTGTATATTATCATGCTATTTACACCTAAGTTACCGGATGTATATTTTCCAACTATTTTTTTTCCTGGGTAAATAGTTACCGCGACGTTTGTATGTGAGTTATCAACTTTGATGTGCATGTATTATCATTCTATTTACACAGAAGTTTATTGGGGGCATGTTTTTTAATAAAAAAATTCGGAGTAAAGAAAAATTTACCGTAATATTTTGTATGTGAATTATCATCTATTTTGTGCATATATTATCATGCTATTTACACATAAGTTATAAGGTGTATGTATTCCAACAACTTTTTTTCTTATGTCAAAAGTTATCGTGGCATTTGTACGCGAGTTATCAACTCTGGTGTGCGCGTATTATCACTCTATTTACGTACTAGAAGTTATGGGGAGGGGCCGGGGTATGTTTTCCCATAATTTTTATCCCGTGATCAAAAGTTACCACGGTCTTTCTACATGACTAATAGCTTTCTTGTGCGTATATTACCATACTATTTATACAGAAATTATAGGTATGCATTTTCAATAAAATTTTGGCCAGTGCCAAAACTTATCGTGGCGATTGTACATGAGTTATCAGCTATGTTGTGCATATATTATCATATTATTGACACCTAAAATTACAGGGTATGTATTTTCAACAACTTTTATCTCAGGATCAGAAGTTATCATGATGATTGTAGGTGAGTTATCATCTATATATTTTTAACAAGTTTTATCCCAGCATCAAAAGTTATAGAGATGATTGTACGTGAGTTAAGTTCTATTATCCGTATATTACCATGTTATTTGCACATAAGTTATTCAAGTATGTAGTTTTAACAACTTTTATGCCAGGGTGAAAAGTTATCGCGGCGTTTGTACTTGACTTATCAGCTATGTTATGTGTATATTATCAAGCTATTTATACATAAGTTATCGGGTATGGTTTTGTAGTGACACTTGTCCCGATGTAAAAGGCTACCACAATGTTAATACATAATCCATTAGTTGTGTTCTATAAATCTTCATGAAGAAAATCTCATAAAACAAACTATGCAGGTTGTCCAGAAAATAGTCATCATTAGGCTGGTCACAATGGGCAAGAACATAAGCTAGTAACTTACACACTTCCCTAGACTATGTTACTACCTCCATAGTGGGTAGGAACATCTCTACTCCTAATGTCTCAGTTGGTAAGTCGCGTTCCGGGTTTTATTTTCGTCCCACCTCATCCGGTCTTTTTTGGTACTTTTTTGGTACTTGCTCCCACCTCCCGCTCAGCCGAGACGGTTTATTTTCGCTGGTTTATTTTCGTCATCCTCCCACCTCCGGTTTTTTTTCGTCCCTGGGATCGATCCCTCGTGCCCTCGATGCGCTCGATACGCTTGCCCGCACGAACGTGGCTCCTCCTAGCTACCCCTCGTCTCCCCGCCTCCAGCCGCACCCGCCGCCGCACCCCAATCCTCGATCTGGCTCTCCACCTCACGACGACGCCGTTGCCCTCTCCGTCCTCCTCCACAAGACGTCACCATCGCCGCCCCTCCTCCGTGATTCGGCCATGGCCACCACCGCCGCCCTCCTCTCCATCGCTGCCACCAACCCTCAACCTCCATCGATCTCCTCCTAGATCGACAAAGGGAGACCTCCACCGTCACCGTTCTTCTTCCTCCCCGACCTCCCGTCGTCGTTCTCCACGGATCTGGCCGTGGCCACAACCGATGTTGTCGGTTCCATGGAGGAGCTCACCTCGGCCTTCTCCACGGATCTGGTTGATCTGAAGGCGGGCGGCGAGGCGGGGCTCACCGAGCGAGGTATCCAAGCGGGGGTCGTCGGTGACGACGATGAAGGCCGGATCGAGGGATCCAGCGACCTAGGCAGGAGCTCCCCGGACCTGAGCGACGGCGGACGGGCGCGTGAGACGGAGTGATCTGGTGCGGGGGTGTGAATTCCTTGCAGGTAGAGGAGGGTCTCCATGGCTGGCAGGGAGAGCTCCAAGCCATGGCGGGGCTTTAGTTTTCCCTGGTAGAAAAGAGAGAAAGAGGAAGATTCAGGGAGGAGGAGAGGTAGAGAGAAGAAGGTGCAGGTGCGAGCTTGGGGAAGAGGGAGCCTAACATGTGCGTACATCCTTGCTCCTTTTCTTCTTTCAGTTTTAGGTACTTTCCAGTAGGCGTGTACATCCTTGTTCCTTCTCTTCTTTCGATTTTAGCTACTCTCCAGTATTCAATTCTGTCAGCAGTTCTCAAGTAAATGAACCGTAGAGAATCAGCTAGATATTTTACTAATGTAAGCTGTGGAGTACTGAGAATGGCATTTATATTGCTGCAAATGCAATGTATGATTTATGCAGCAGAGAGGATGCCGCAAGGGGAGAGGAATGGTGCAGTGAGATTGAGGAAGACAGGACACATCGGGACCCGGGAGCTCGAGAAGAGGCTCAATCGATCTCGACAAGAAGTGATCTCCCCTTGGTGACAGTACTAGATGGCCTCTCTAGGCTCCTGTCATAGACCTTGGTATGTGTATATATTTCATTTCTTCAACGATTTATTGATGCACGAGTAAGCTTGCAAAGCGACCTGGGTATGTGGATAGTTTTCACTTCTTCAACGGTTCATTGATGTAGGAGTAAGCTTGCGACCTAGGTATGTGGATAGATTTCACTTCTTCAACGGTTCATTGATGCACGAGTAAGCTTGCGACCTGGATATGTGGATAGATTTCACTTCTTCAACGGTTCATTGATGCACGAGTAAGCTTGCAAAGCGGCATCCTGCTTATCTAGCTTTCTGTCCACTGCTGTCCATGCAACTGGTAATGACTGTGCAAGAGCCAAGCTTTAATTTTTTTATACATCCGGCCTCTAATCCCTGGCTATTAATTATATATTTAAGCAAACACAAGATGACGAGACATCATTTAATTTTAAGAGAATCAATAAATTATTGAAACTGAAATGGTCATATATATGATGGTTTGATCTGTCGGCCTTTTACATTTTTTTTCAGAAGCATAAAAGATATAAGAATCTCATCTCCTTCTGGCGGAACGGCGGAGGGCTTGGCTGCTACCAGGGTGATCCAAAGGGTGTATCTAGGTAGCATGTTTGTGGCCTCTTGCACTAACATGATTAATGGTAGCTTCTATTCCATGACATGATTTTTGCAGCTGTAACAATATGTTTCATGCAAGAGGACATAAATTTGCATCCTATTTTTCTGTCCAGTTAGTTCCAAATTACAAATGTTTGTGCTATCATTGACAATTTGGTGGAAAAAGATGAGTCGTATATACACCCAGTGTAAGCTTTCACATCAGCCGTTGCTCTTGATTGTCTTTGCAAGTCCATAGATATAATTTCTTATGATTTTCCTTTACCCATAGTAAGTACTGAATATTTTATGCTTCAACCCTTTAGGTGTTGATTTCTAAGATGTGGCTAGCAAAGTTGGCAACAGGTACAGTATAACGATCATGATCTGCAGAGGGATATCACCTAGGTGCATAAATCATAATCATTCTGTTTTTATTTGGCAAGCTGGAGCTACCTGGAACTTTCAATTTTGGTGCCAAGATGGATGGATTCAACTGGGTGACCCACAGTCAGGTATTGTTGTTCAGTTATCCTGAGGGTAATGTGGATATGTTCTATTTGAGATCAAGCTTGGTATTGCTAGAAAATATATATGTGATGTGCACTGAGATTTCAACTATATAATATCAGTAACACGTCGTTTCCCTTGCTATTCATGATCACTTGAACTAGCTTACCGTTTAATAATATTTCTATCTTGCACCATGAGTGTTGTTCAGTGGCAATATTCGCTCCGCCGAAGGTAATAGCGATGCACCTTCGCTAAGAAGGTTCTTTCCTGTTCAATACAATGACAAGACGCTGAAACATCATGGTGTCCATGCTAAAGGATAATGATTCACCCCCTGGCTTCTTATTGTTGTATCATCTTGGCAGGGCGTGGCCGCGGCTGCGGCGCGGGCAGCAAGGACGAGCGCCGCAAGGGAGCCGATGGGCGTGGGCGTGAACCGGGGAGAGGAGACCATGGCGGAGGAGATGAGAGAAGGCCACTGTCTTCTTCTCCCCCCTATCCGACCAGAAACCCCTATCTATCCATCCGACGAGAGAAGACTGCAGGCGGAGGAGAGGAGACGCGGGTGAGGTAAGAGGAGCCAAATCCCCATCATGCTCCTCCCCGCGCGCCGCCGACCCACCAGCTGTTGGAAATATGCCCTAGAGGCAATAATAAAAGTATTATTATATTTCAATGTTCATGATAAATGTCTTTTATTCATGCTATAACTGTATTATCCGGAAATCGTAATACACGTGTGAATACTTAGACCACAATATGTCCCTGGTGAGCCTCTAGTTGACCAGCTCGTTGTGATCAACAGATAGTCATGGTTTCCTGACTATGGACATTGAATGTCGTTGATAACGGGATCACATCATTAGGAGAATGATGTGATGGACAAGACCCAATCCTAAGCATAGCATAAAAGATCGTGTAGTTCGTTTTGCTAGAGCTTTGCCAATGTCAAGTATCTCTTCCTTAGACCATGAGATCGTGTAACTCCCGGATACCGTAAGAGTGCCTTGGGTGTATCAAACGTCACAACGTAACTGGGTGACTATAAAGGTGCATTACAGGTATCTCCGAAAGTAGCTGTTGGGTTGACACGGATCGAGACTGGGATTTGTCACTCCGTATGACGGAGAGGTATCTCTGGGCCCACTCGGTAATGCATCATCATTATGAGCTCAATGTGACCAAGGTGTTGGACACGGGATCATGCATTACGGTACGAGTAAAGTGACTTGCCGGTAACGAGACTGAACAAGGTATTGGGATACCAACGATCGAGTCTCGGGCAAGTAACGTACCGATTGACAAAGGGAATTGTATACAGGGTTTGATCGAATCCTCGACATAGTGGTTCATCCGATGACAACATCGAGGAGCATGTGGGAGCCATCATGGGTATCCAGATCCCGCTGTTGGTTATTGACCTGAGAGCGTCTAGGTCATGTCTGCATGTCTCCCGAACCCGTAGGGTCTACACACTTAAGGTTCGGTGACGCTAGGGTTATTAGGAAGACTAGTATGTGACTACCGAATGTTGTTCGGAGTCCCGGATGGGATCCTGGACGTCACGAGGAGCTCCGGAAGGGTCCGGAGGTAAAGATTTATATATGGGAAGTTGTCAAACAGACACCGGGAAGTTTCGGGGTCATACCGGTATTGTACCGGGGCCACCGGAAGGGTTCCGGGGGTCCACCGGGAGGGGCCACCCCTCCCGGGGGGCCACATGGGCTGCGTGGGGCAGGGAGCCAGCCCCTGGTGGGCTGGCCGCACCCCCCTCCCTTGGGCCCATGCGCCTAGGGTTGAGGGGGAACCCTAGAGGGGGCGCCCCCCTTGACTTGGGGGGCAAGCCACCCTCTCCCCTCTCCCCTAGGCCGCCGCACCCCCCCTAGATGGGTTCTAGGGGGCCGGCCCCCTTCTCCCTTCCCCCTATAAATAGAGGGGTGAGGGGAGGGCAGCCGCACCACCCTCCAAGGCGCAGCCCTCCCCTCCCCAACACCTCTCCTCCTCCGTTGTGTGCTTGGCGAAGCCCTGTCGGAGTACTGCCTCTCCACCATCACCACGCCGTCGTGCTGCCGGTGGAGCTGTCTTCCTCAACCTCTCCTTCCCCCTTGCTGGATCAAGAAGGAGGAGACGTCTCCCGTCCCGTACGTGTGTTGAACGCGGAGGTGCTGTCCGTTCAGCACTTGGTCATCGGTGATTCGAATCACGTCGAGTACGACTACATCATCACCTTGCAAGCTTCCGCACGCGATCTACAAGTAGTATGTAGATGCAAACTCTCTCCCTTGACTCGTTGCTTAGATGAACTCATAGATGGATCTTGGTGAAACCGTAGGAAAAATTTTAATTTTCTGCAACGTTCCCCAACAGTGGCATCATGAGCTAGGTCTATGCGTAGTTCTCTTTGCACGAGTAGAACACAATTTTGTTGTGGGCGTGGATTTTGTCATCTTACTTGCCTCTACTAGTCTTTTCTTGCTCAACGGTATTGTGGGATGAAGCGGCCCGGACCAACCTTACACGTACGCTTACGTGAGACCGGTTCCACCGACTGACATGCACTAGTTGCATAAGGTGGCTGGCGGGTGTCTGTCTCTCCCACTTTAGTTGGAGCGGAATCGATGAACAGGGCCCTTATGAAGGGTAAATAGAAGTTGACAAAATCACGTTGTGGTGATTTGTAGGTAAGAAAACGTTCTTGCTAGAACCCAATTGCAGCCACGTAAAAGATGCAACAACAAATTAGAGGACGTCTAACTTGTTTTTGCAGCGATTGATCATGTGATGTGATATGGCCAGAAGTTGTGATAAATGATGAATTGTGATGTATGAGATCATGTTCTTTGTAATAGGATTCACGACTTGCATGTCGATGAGTATGACAACCGGCAGGAGCCATAGGAGTTGTCTTTATTTTTTGTATGACCTGCGTGTCATTGAATAACGTCATGTAAACTACTTTACTTTATTGCTAAACGTTAGTCATAGAAGTAGAAGTAGTCGTTGGCGTGACAACTTCATGAAGACACGATGATGGAGATCATGATGATGGAGATCATGGTGTCAAGCCGGTGACAAGATGATCATGGAGCCCCGAAGATGAAGATCAATGGAGCTATATGATATTTGTCACATCCCTAGTTCTGACAATGCCTAGTGCATGCATTAGAGTGTTGCTTCATGTTTAAATTTCATTTAAACCTGAAATGGGGATTGACTAAACCCTAGCACCAAATGAATTCAATTAGGGTCAAAATAAAATCTTTTTCATTAAACCCAAAATGCCCTCTAAAATGTTCAACATTTCTGGTTTGAGGTGAAAGCATCTTCCAAAAATGATTTATATTTTGCAGGACATATTGGGCTCTGAATTAAACCATATTGTATTTGACTTTGGGCATTTAAATACTATAAATAATTTAAATGTTCAAATAAATGTTGGAAAATTGTTAGGGGTCACTGAAATAATTCAGAAAACACCCATAACTGTTTCCAGGATTTTATAAAATGATTTGATATTTAAATCAAATCAAAAACAAATTGCAGAAAATAGAAAAGGTAAAACAGAACAGAATTATAAAAGAGAGAGAGAAACATTACATGCAGCCACCTGGGCCACTTACCTGGCCCATCTTCCCCCCCCCCGGCCGGCCCAGCCCATCTCCTCCCCCTTTGTCCTCTTCCTCCTCTGCCAGGAGGACGAGCAGAGGCGAGGCGTGGCGCTCGCCAACGCTGCTTCGGCCACCTCCTGCTTCCCCCCCTAGCCACCTCCTGCTTCCCCTCGTTGCCCTGGATCCCGTCCGCGACGCCACGC